CAGCCCTTAGGAGTGGAGGAGAGAAGGTCTCCTTCACCTAGTCAGTGAGGGTGGGTGAAAGTTGAGCTTTTCTATTAAACACACACCTCTCCTAGAGATCCAGCAAGGCTAGAAGGGATCCCAGAGTCCACGTAGCCACTAATCCACACCGTGCCCCAGATAACTTTCAGTGACCTTGATTCAAGAGGAGCAGAATAGATGCCCCAGGTATAAATGACATCCAAGAGACACCAGGCCCTGTCTCTTCACCCAAATCAAAGAAATCCATGATCTCACAAGTATGGGGAAACCCAGTACTCTGGGGACGAATTCAGGCCGTCAGCCTGTGACGCTGATAAATATTTCTCACTAACAGGATGAGGTAGCCTATCTCGTTACCTTAAGAATGAGATTGCCACCTGGGTCTCCAGATTTCCACCTCTTCTAGGGCATCTGAGGTTTGTCCTCAGAGCAGAAACCACACCATACTTGCTCTCCTGACTTACGATACTGTGAGAGAATGAATGGGTGAGTGGTGGATGCACGAGGCCGTCAAGAAAATGTTAGAACGTGGAGATGAACGTGAGTCCACGAGAAAGCTGAGGTTGGGTCACAGATTGGACTCAGAGAGTTGCAGTGTTAGAGCGTAACTAAAGTGTGCTGTCTCGGTGTATGAGGTCCACACAGAGCATGGAGGGGCTGTGTTTTCTACTAATCCCCAGGACCAGGAAGATGTCATATGGACTGTGCTTGGCAGTGTGCCCCAGGAGCCTTGCTCTCTCTCGGGCAGAGTCCAGACAGGGTTCTGTTGGGCCTGACGATTACACGACCTGGAAGACGTTCTTCTAAAGTTATACCCAATCGACCATGAACGTGAACATTTCTTTAGAATGAGAAGAACATTTCTAATCAGCTCTAAACCCTGACAACAGCAACCACCATAATGTGCAAAACATGGTTTCTCTGGAAGTGCGTTTATATATGTTTTTACACACGCCCCGTATGAACTGGTACAATCTCAAGTGTGACAAAGTAAAAGTTCAAGGTAACAGACACCATGGGTTTATTGTGAATCCAGACAGGTAGTTTGCAAATTTGACAGCACCCCTTGGGCATGTGAACACACAGCATGGTCTCACGGGAGCAGCTGACTTCCTCTCAACTAGAAATGTCCTCAGGTTCCTGTTAAGCCCTTAATGCTTATTTTCACATGAAGTTTAAGAACTAAGCTAGTTTTTCCAACATTTATTCTCAACATATGCCTCGTTTTAAGGTAGTATTCATGGGCTTCACATGTTCTCTTTCAATTGAGTGTGTCTAATTAATTATATTCCAGAGAGGGTCATGTTTAGCCAGATGGAGGCTGTTTGTAGAACCTGTTTTCAAATTCCTGGTTTTGGTCCATCTACTGCTCCAGCCACCTGGAATGACTTGCCAGTCTGCGTTTGTGCCGATGGAACCTGCTGGAGCTAGACAACCAATAAATGCAAAGATGGAGCTC